TATAAATTTTAGATATGAATCATGATCTTGTATTTGGAGATTTTATTGGAGATTTATGATATCGGAGATTTTATAATTTGATCTTCAGATTTTGATGGTATCAGATGTGATATGATAAGTTCCGAGCCTTGTGCACTTGTGGGACTCGTCTCACGAATGCACGGCGTCTGTCGCGTCTCGAAATTGGGTTTTGGGGCGTGACAGATTTAGTGGTATCAGAGCTTGGTTTAAATTAAGAGCTTAGGTTGAAATTAAGAGTTTAAGATTAAATTAAGCACCTCCAGATTGAGTGGCATTAGAGTAGATTGAGTGATATCGAGCCTAGGTTTAATTGAATACTTAGGATTTGTTTTGGACTTGGCTAGCCAGTGGATTTTAGACCCGTGGTGAGACGAGTGATGGGGTTATATAAGGGACGATTCTAATTCATATTGCCTGAATTTTCTCATCCATTTCGATGAGATAGTGATCTGATTGTTCTTGTTTCTTGCCTTCATACTCTGTGTGAAGTTGTGAAAGTAATCTTGCTCGTTATGTCCTGAAGGCCTTGTTTTGAAACTTGGTCATTTTCTGATAGTTTGCACTTGTTTAGACTTGTTACGTGAATAGAATTTTTGTATGCTCTTTTGCCACAATGTTGAAATCTGGGGAGTTGTAGAGATCTTTTGTTATTGACTCTGTTGGTCTCTACCACATAGCTGGTTGAGAAATTTGTTCTGTTTGTCGCATGACCAGTGGAGGATGGGTAAACCCTCTACTTTGCAATAGATTCAAAGCTATTTTAGCCAATGTTGTGTGTTTTTCTAGATGCGTTTTAAGAGCTGGATAACTTGGTAATTTCGTTGCTCATGATCTTTCTGAAAGTCTTATAGTGAAATTTCACTTTTTCCATTTGGAGCTTCGTGGTCTTTTCATGTGGCTCATTTTTCTGTATTGGTTAATCAAGAGCAGTGATTATTCAATTGAAATTGTTGTCTTTTGTGAAGATTGGCAAGTTGTCATAAAGTTAAACTCCTTTGTTGCCAATCTCTACATTCTTGATATCTGGAAATTGCTTGAAACTCTTGAAATCCGTCTTGAATCTTTCTTGAGATTGCTTTGTACTTGTTCTTGAAACTGAAATCCGGAAATGGATAATGATTATTGAAATCCTCATTATCTTGATACTTGTCTAAAATTGATTCTTACACTGTTCTTGGAATCTAGTTTGAATTGTCCTTGGAAACCATTCTTGTCTTGACCCTGCTCTTGTTCAAATTCTGTATACTGCTCTTGTGCAAACCTTGCATATTCTGCTTGTTCTTGTTTCAGTATACCTGTTGATCTTTTTGATCTTCTTGATCTTCTTGATTCTTGGTTTTTGTTCATATGGACACCTCTTTAGGAGGGGTGATGATTATCAGAAGATACCTATATGAGGCATCCTAATTCCTGTCTCTTGCAAGTGTTAGTCTCTGTATTCTTGATGTCTTAGCTTGACTTGACTCTGGAATGTCTAGGCTAAGCAGATTGTAGTCTCCATGAGCTACGAGGTAAAGGGGTAGTCCTTGAAGTACTTGATACCCTAGAGTTTTGTTCCAAGTGAAATGGTTCTTTGATCTGGCTGCTTGGATTTTTGTTTGCCCTTTTAATTGGAAGACATGAATCTTCTAAGCATCTTGATCCCAGTCATTGCTTTGTTCTGTTAATTATTTCTAGTACTTGAGGTGCTAGATCTTGATATCTTGGTTATATCTGCTCTTGAATTCTTGTTCTCAGTGTCATTATTGAAATCTCTTTTGTGGGCTTAATCCTTGAATTCTATTGCTTGTTTCATGGTTAACTCTTTGTCT